TACATTTCTTCTTGGTTTCTAAAGTGAATCTCGGCGGAAAGATATCTTGAGAGACAACAACTGATTCAGAGATCCAGTAGAAAACGACAATCTAGTGACTACGCAAGTACACACACTATTTTGTGCTTTGATGGAATAATAAAGCTTGTTTTACATTTTTACATCGCATGTCCAGTGTGTTTATTTTCTGAACCTAAAACTCAGTCATTGAGTTAAATTTTGAATTACTTCATAATTTCCTGATTAACATCTTGTTATAAACAACATATTTGTTTGTTTGTTTTAGGGCAAAGCCACATTGGGCTATCTGCTGCGTTTGCCAAGGGAAAACGAATCCCTGACATTAGCGTTGTAAGTCCGTAAACTTACTGCTGTCCCACCGGGGGATCCATTATGAAGAGAATTTATTTAATACTCGTGTGGAAATCAGTTTCACCTGGAAATACCATAAAAAAACTGAAAAGATTACCATAAAGATATAAAGAAGAAAATTAGGTATAAGTGCTCTAAGTTGAAAAGCGTTAAATTGACATATACGTTGTGAGATTTACACAGCTGTAGGAAAGGTTGGGATTTGGTTAATGAAGAAATGAGGAAATTCAAAAGAGTTTATGAGAATCAGCTAGCTGATTATGTTAAAAATAACAGCAAGATTTTTTTAATGTGTTAATGGTAATCAAAATGTTAAAATTGGTGCTAAGTTTTTGATGAAGATTTTGAAATGAGTGAGTTTTTAAATGTTTTTTCTCTTCTGTTTTTACAAGAGAAGATGTCAGCAATTTTAATGACCCTGATCATTCTATGGAAAATGTTGGAATTAACCTGAATAATACAGAAATTAATCCCTATTTGTTAAGCAGAAAGACTCAGAGATCAAAATAAACAAAGCCAGACAAGGTTTTCTTCACAGTTTTAAAGGAGATCAAAAATAAGATATGCGATCTCTCTCTCTTTCATTTTAATAAGTTGATTAAATTAACAATTATTGGACCAGCCCTTGTAAGTATTTGCAAATAATGTTTTATTACTTAAAGTCAAGTTTGGTTTGGTGTGTTTTGATTTTCGCGCAAAGCTAAACGAGGGCTATCTGTGCTAGCCGTCCCTAATTTAGCAGTGTAAGACTAGAGAGAGAAGGCAGCTAGTCATCACCACCCACCACTAACTCTTGGGCTACTCTTTTACCAACGAATAGTGGGATTGGCCGTCACAGTATACCGTCCCCACGGCTGAAAGAGAGAGCATGTTTGGTGTGATGGGGTTTCGAACCCGCGACCCTCAGATTGCGAGTCGAACGCCCTAACCACCTGGCCATGCCGAGCCCTTAAAGTAAAGTAAGAATGTTAAAAGGATGGCACTGATATTGGAATATTATGAAAGTGGTTAAAATAGATCAACGTGTTAAACTTCAGTTAGTAGATGTCTAGATATTCTATTATAAATAATGAGAAATATTTGCAGCAATGATTTTTCATAATGTCAAGGAATACACTTGAAGTAAATATAAAGTTGATGTGGGTATTAAAAACGTTGTTACTTCTTTTGTATTCCAAATAAAAGTTTTTATAATAGTGCCATATCATCTCCATCTATTGAGAGATAAACAAACTTCTAAGTATTATTTTTATAGGAAACCACAGCTATCACATTTGTAATAGAGCCTTGTGAGTATTTTGTTTATAGATAATCTATTTTGGATTAAACATATATATATATTAAAATATATATAAAAATCTTGCATAATTTCTGAGATTAATAACGAGAGTTACAAAACTCTGAAAGAAGAATAACCTGGTGCAAAATGGGAAATAGAATGAAAAACTGGTCTATCCATTTATTTCTTAAATAGTTGGACAACTTATCCAACTGAATAGTACAAAAGATTAATTAATATCGTCATATACGATTATCTCTAAATTTCTTATATAAATATTGAGTTAGTTTACGAGTAAACACTATTAACTACACCATTCATATAATACCCCCTCCAACACTGCACAGCGTGGTCACAAGTAAATAGACACCACCTTTTCAGAAAAAATGAAAATTTTCAGTCATATTCACATCAATTGATATAGTATTTCTTTTTGTACCATTTGTACTT